TTTCCTGTTAACAGATATAAAGCTGCTTTTAAGCAGTTTGTATTTCATTCTTTTGCAGTGTGGTTTAAAGTGAAAGTGTGTTCAAATTGACCAGTTTTAACTCTTTATAAAGCCCAGTTTTATTTAAGGGCTGAGGACACAAATTTTTTCCAGCCGTTCCTCAAAACTCAGTTCTCTAAAATTGGGGATCTACCACAATTTTTCTCTGCACTATTTCTAACATTTGTTTTTATTTCTATTTGTTTGTTCCCTTTCTATTTTGCTGACCAAACCTCAACACATTGCGCATAAAGATTGTCCAGACCTATAGACAGCTTTTCATGATGGGTGTACAGCCAATGCTTTCTGCTTTAGTGCTAATGTTAGACTAGAATTTGCTGATTTGAAATCTCCTGTTTTGAACTGAATCTTCAAAACAGTGTTCATGAATTTGCAATATAACAGTTGGGACCAAAGATACATTTAACAAATTAAAATTAAAGGGATATTACAGCCAAAATACAGAAATAATTTATACCACATATAATTCATTGTGGCATGATTTTCCAAATGTTTAAATTGAATCGAATCAGCCTGCACTACATTTTAAAAATGTAATTCTTGTAAATAAAATCATTCACACACAAGATATAATGTACCTTTGCTTAAAAGAAACAAATACATTTTTACATTTAACTGTATGAACTAAGCATTTAAGTAGCTCACAAATAGATTTTAGCAACATCCCTTGAACACAATAAAGCACCCCGTAGTGCATCACAGGAGTGTCACAGTGCAACACTTGACACTGACCCAAGCAAGAGGATGACACCAGACGACTTAGTCTAAGAGGTTTTAACCAGTGTCTTAAAGGAAAAAAGTGAAATAAAGGAAGGTAGAAGCTGAGAGAGAGAACGCCAGAGCTTAAGGCTCTGACAGCTGCTAATGGTGGTGATTAAAAAATTGGGAAACTTAGGTACAGCATGGTGGGTCAGTGATTAGCACTGCTGCCTCAAAGTGTCAGGGACCCAGATTCAAATCTACCCTTGGGCAGCTGTCTGTGTGGAGTTCACACATTCTCCCCATGTCTGTGTGGGTTTCCTCCCACAGTCCAAAGATACACAGGCTAGGTGGACTGGCTGTAGGAAATGCAGGGTTACAAGGTACGGAGGGTGGGGTGCTCTGCAGAATGTGGGTGTGGACTCGATGGGCCGAACGGCCTGTTTTCACACTGTAGGGATGCTATGATTCTAAGAGTGCAGGCAAAGAGGAACATATGTTGAAGATTTGTAGGGCTGGAAGAGATTATATAGTTAGGGAATGGCAATGCAAGAGAGAGATTTGAAAATTACACAAACTTTTAAAACTTTGTCAAAGCTTGACTAAGAGCGTACATTGTGAATGAGTCTTGCTATTCAATAAGCCTTAGGCAGTAAAGGTTTAGATGAGGTTTGCGGAGGGTAATCATGCTGCTACTTCCTTTTTTCATCACTTCAATGCCTTAAAAAGAGTCCTTAAAATAACAGAGCATATTAGACAGTGATATTAACAGCTAGGAATAATGTGCCTCTTTGCTATGTCCTGAACAAATAACACATCAGCATAAATTTATCCTCAATCTTTGCTTGCCAAATCACAGCAAGTCACAACATGAATTATACAAACGTAAACATTCTAATTTACCAAAGCCAAAGATGAAAATGAACAGTATCTTTTCAAGTTCAAAATAGACATTTCAACAACCTAAGATCATGCCCCAAACTCTTTAGCAGCTGCTTTCACCAAGACGTGGTTTCTGAAACATGCTTTGTTCAGAAGTGCTTGATTGAGAGTAGTAAAACAATTAGCCCAAATCTAAGATTTTCTCTTGTGAGCTATTCAAAGAAAGGCAAGGCTTTTCAAGGCATGTTCGTGAATTTGTACTGCGCAGAACAATTGTGCTTCTTGTACATCCCAATCAGCAGCCATGCCTTCCATCGGTCATGTTCTAAACTCTGGAATTCCATCCTCAAATTTCTCCTCTCATCCCTCCTTTAGGACCTGTCTTAAAACCTATCACTTCGACCAACCTTTTGGTCATCTGCCCTCCAAATGCCTTATGTGGCTTGGTGTAAAATTTTGTTGATCACTCTGCTTTAAAATATCATAGAACGTTTTACTTCATTAAATGCGAGTTGCTGTCAGGTCGAGATCTTTCTTTGAAGCTAATGAGGAATTCAAATGCTTATTAATGTATATGCAAGTTTTCCCTGCATTAAATGAAACTTTTAATCTGACTTTCACAGAGTCTGTCCACAAGTCCTCCATTTCATTCAGCTACCATGTTACTGGTCGCAGTATCACTCCTTTCAACAAAAGCAAGCAAATTCCATGATCCATATTTAAGGGCCAATGTTCCTGCAATGTTTAAAAATTATGAAAAAGTTCCATAGCAAAGACAAAGAGAAACTACTTGCTGTGATTTGAGAGTGGAGAACAAAGGGGACCCAAGCTTAAATGATGTAAAGGTTATTCAGTTGTGCTGTCTGAAAGGCCTTCTTCACACAAAAATGGAGGGGATCTTGCACCCTCCTACCCAAAAAAATGCTGAGATTTGGTGATTCATTAAGTTCAAAAAACTTAGACTGAAAGATTTTTGTGAAGGATATTAAAGAATCAAGTTGGGCTATTATTAGTTAAAAATACAGATCAGACACAATTTAATTGAAAGTGGCATCAGCTCCAGGGGTCAAATGACTTAGTCTTGTTCTTACATTGTTATGTTTCATGACTCACATCAGTCAACAGCCATTATCCAGAAATCCAAAAAAATTAAGGTGGCTGAACTGTCTCTGCAACACCACTACAGATCAAAAGAAGGGCAAAGCATAATCCTATTACTAGTTGCCACTTGGTTCAGCTGAGACTGCAATTTAACCGAGACAAATTGAGAAAAAAATTCCTGCCCAGTATTACACACAACTCTGGATAACGGCAACCCTAAGATTTTCTATTCTTGAGAAATAGTCTAATGCATACTAAAAAAAAGCTTACCAGAGCCTCATTCACTTAAATTTCATACGTGGGCAAAGTAAGAAATTACTGTCAACACGTTGAACATTGCATATTGTGAAGACTAATGAATCTCACAATAGAAGTTGATCAACTCATGAAAATATAAGCGAGAGGAATAACTGACGATTACATAAGAATTAGGAGGAGTAGGCAATTCTTCGGTCTGTTGCACCATTCACTATGATCACGGCAGATCTCATCTTGATCTCAAAGCCTCCTTCCTGTCTGCTATTTAAACACTCTGTCTGATGTTACATATGCAAATTCCAAAAAAAAACAACATCACACAGAATTCATAGAAGTGCAACTAAAGCAATTTTATTTGGCAATCAGGATACCAGAGCAGCAGTGCTCAAGCAGAGGCCAACAACTACCATATATTGCTCTCCCTTTTGTATAACAACTGGGCACATTTTCTGCAGTTACTCGTCACCTGAGAAACAGCACGTAATGAAAGCTGCCAGAGGTGCAGTTTATCTCCTTTATCTTGTATTAGCTCTAAACAACTGCAATTAATAAACTGTTGGTATAATATAACTGAAATGTCTTTATTACAAAAGATTGACAAGTTACATAATTTAGATCTTTAAAATAATCATGAATGTTACTGATGATGTCGACAACTGCAGTCACAGAAAATAACAAAATTAACAGTAACCTTCCCTTACAAAAACATTTGATGATATGTTAACTGACCTCATCGATAAACAGTATGGACTAACATGGTCAACAATAACTAATAAAGGTCATAAGTCATCGGGGCTAGGCAGGAAAGGGAAGCTGAGGCCACAAACAGATCAGCCATGAGCTTATCAAATAGCAGAGCAAGTTCAAAGGACTGAAAAGACTAATTCTGCTCCTAATTCATTTGTCTATACTAAGAATAAGGGGGTCAGTTAACTCAGATGGCAACTGGTTTGTGATGATCACCAGCTGAGGTTACCATTGAAGGACTCTCAACCTCTTCCCCTTGCCTGCAGGGTAGTGACCTAAACAGCCCTGTAGGACTATGGACCCTATGTTAAAAAATAAAGATAACCAAATTTCATGTGGAAGATGACAAATAATTTGCTGGTGGAAATATAGGTGAATGGCTTGTGAAATGCAGATGGTCACAGTTAATAAATTGGGATAAAATGTCAGTCTCAATTACTCTTGGAAGGTAAAACACAAAAGCAACTGAATATACTAACCTTGCTACCTTTTATCTGTGTTTAATAGCTGGACGATTAATGCCTCAGATATCCTTAAATCTATCAAAACTATCCACGTTGTGCTAGTGTCAATAACAGTGCAACCATGCTGCTCAAGACATGGCATTTGCATGGACGACTCAAGGTGACCAAATCAGCATTGTGTGTGTGTAGCAATGTGGAATGGCAAAGAGGACAGGGTGAACAGAAAGACAGTTATGAGGCCAAATTAAATGGCATACTACCACCAACAGCTAGGAACATCTCTCAGCTGACTGCAAGAGCCAGCGAAAAGCAATGTCACTCCTTCTGAGGAACTTGGTCTGGAAGCGGCAAGAACTGAACAGTAAACAGCAGCTTGTCTAATGTGGGGGACATGAGAGCCCGGCTCTCATTCACGATCAGCACGGTGATCAAGTATAGGACACACTGGGACTGACACTGGAGGAGGGAATCTAAACGGAACAGGCAGGTCTGATGTTCCAAGAGGTGGTCTCTCCCTCATAACCACGAGATGTGAGAACTCTCTGAAAAGCGATGGGGCGGATGGGGGCGATGGGGGGAGATAGAAAAATGTAAAAAGTGGGTTCAAACCGAGTGCCCCCACACCGACAACGCCTGGTCGAGGCGCCAGCTGCCCCGAAGGAGCTGGCTGCAGCCCGCCCGGACCAGGCTGAGTGAAAGCGGCCACCCACTTCTCGGACACTCCACTCCATTCCATTCCATTCACCGGCACCACTTATCGTTTGTATTCTCTCTTTTCCGAACACTCACCTCCCTTCAAAACGACATCCTGCAACCTCATCCGGGCTCTGTCACTGTGGAAAGGTGAAAGGTCAACCCCGGACTGCGGGTTCTGGGGGGGAGGGGGAAGCTCTGCGCAAGCGCAGCAGCTACAATCCTCAAGCGGCGTGCTCGTCTGCGCATGCTCTTTGATCAGCCTGCTGCCTTTCTGTCCCCCGAACTGGACGTGTCCATTTGCAGCGCTAGGTTTGATGGCCTTTGGTGGTGGAGTGGTAACGGCCCTACCTCCAGACTAGGAGGCTTGGATTCAAGTACCACCTACTCCAGAGGCATGGCACAACACACACGCATTATAAAGCTTCATACATCTGTGGTATTTATTTTCATTTTACACATCAACTAGAATGGGTTTTATTTGTTTAAAAAAAGCAAAATATTAAACTTTGTAAAATGCATGCTTCCGTGAGGACTTTTTTTAAGTTTGCAAGCTAAGGGGGGGCGATTGCAATAGTCATCATCATCAGCAGCGGTCCCTCACTGTTGAGGATCACTCTCTTCCACTCGTCTGTGGGTGACTGTCCAGACCGATGTGGCTACTGCAGGTTCTGTTACACTTGGGGCAGGAAGGGGTGGGTGGGGCACTGGCATGGCAGCGCGCTCCTTTTGCTGTTTTTCCCTAGCTTCCATTTTTTTCTTGACGGCAAGTTTCAAGGTGCTCAACGCCTTCCCCATTGTTGCCCCTCCACTTTGAATGGTCTTGGACCCATGATTCCCAGGTGTTTGCGGGGATGTCGCACTTCGCCAGTGAGGCCTTAAGGGTATCAATGAAGGGCCTCCTCTGCCCACCTGGGGCTCGCCTGCCATTTTGGAACTGGGAGGAGAACACCTGCTTGGGGAGTCACTTGTCGGTTATGCAGACGACGTGCCCAGCCCATCGTAGCCAATCAAAGGTAGTCAGTGCCTCAATGCTGGGGACATTAGCTTGGTCAAGGACGCTGGTTTTGGTACGTCTTTCCTCCCAGCAGATTCACAGGATCTTGCACAGGCAACATTGATGGTACTGCTGAAGTGCCTTGAGGCAATAGTAATGTCACTTTGAGGTCTGGATTTGGATCCTACTATAACAGATGATGAAATTTGAATTCAATAAAATTCTGGAATTTAAAAAATAACTCGAGCCATGGTGACCATATAACTCCTACTGATTGTTATCAACAAAAACTCATCTGATTCAGTAATGCCCTTTACCTGGCCATCCTTTACCTGATGTGGCTGACATCTGCAATGCTGCTGACTCTTAAATTGAGGTTAGGCAGTAAATGCTGGCCCAGTCAACAATACTGACATCCCATGACCAAATAAAAGTCATCGGGATTGTGTGCCTTCTCTCATTTATTGCCCACCCATAGTTGCTCTTAGAGGTGGCAGTGAGCTTTCTTCTTGAACTGTTACGCTGTGCACAGAAATCATACCTGCCAAACCTCACTGAAGGACAAGCTAGTGCACCACAAGAAGGAAATGGGTCAGATGGGAGAAGGCTTTCTTTATCTGTGCATCCTCACCGCCTTTGTTAAAGATGTGGTCCAGCTGGCAGGTGAGGAATAACACTAGTCCTGTGCTAATTGAGAGATCTAAATAGCAGAGTTTAGTTAGCACCATTGTTATCTGCATATCTCAGATGTTAGTCCATTCTTACATTTTATTGTACATAAGGTTTTGTGCATGTTCACCGACTAATTCTCTCTTTTCCAAAGGCACGAGATAGAGAGGCCATAGAGGCTGTCTAGCACAAGCACCTCTGAGGATAAAATATCTGAACACCTGCAGAGGATGTAATGATAAGGCATTCAACTGTTACCTCCATCAGCATAGAGACGTTCACCTTGGTGGATAATCTATCTAGATTAAATTCAGGGACACAGTCTGGTGACAGATCAGTCACACATCCTTGCAAGTGGTGGAGGAAAATCTCTTGCACTCAAAGAACAGAGCAGAGACCCGCTGAGTGCTATGCAGGAGATGTGCCTCTCTACTCAGCTATAATTGACATGCTCAACCTGCAGGCAGAGGAACATACCAGAGGTCCTCACTCAACTGGAGCAAAATATGAAGGGTGCATTCACCTTTTGTTAAATGTGGTGGTTGTGGCATTTAATTACTTAGTTGCCTCCATGGAAAGGGCAGCAGCTGCTTTGCACATCCAGATCCAGTAAAATGCTCAGTGGCTGACAGATATGCACTCAGACAAGTCACCAGGGTATACCAGTCAACAAGCTTGCCCCATCCCGGCTGTGGATGTTGTTAAGGGGAAGGCATATCCAACCAACTTGATTAAATTTTTCAAAAAGGTGACCAGGTTTATAGATGAGGGCAATGCTTTTAATTTAGTCTACTTGGACTTCAGCAAGGTTTTTGATAAGGTCCCACATGAGAGACTGATAGCAAAAGTAAGCCCCACGGGATCCATAGAAATTTGGCAAATTGGATCCACAATTGGCTGAGTAGCCAGAAGTAAAGGGTGATAGCTGAGGGTGTATTTCTGACTAGAAGTCTGTGTGCAGTTGGGACCCACAGGAATCAGTGTTTGTGCCCTTGCACTTTTTGGTTTATATAATTGATTTACACTTGAATATGGGAGGGTTGATCAGTAAGTTTAGAATTAGAATTGGGTTTTATTGTCACGTGTACTGAAGTACAGGGGTACAGGAGTACAGTGAAAAATGTACAAAGTCATCATTCCCAGTGCCATCTAAGGTACAAAGGTACCTAGATACAAAATCTTAGGTACAAAAATAGAAAAATAAATAAGTTAAAAAGTTCAGCATTACAGTTCTTAGTACAAAGTAGAAACATAAAGAAATAAAGTTAAAAGTTAAACAATACAGTTCTTCTTAAGCCATTGGCCTGCAGACACTCCCTGCTGAGCTCCCCCACCCCCAAGAGCTCACTCTTCCCTGCGCTGGGCACTTTCACTGGCTAAGTCCCGCCCAGGCTCACCAACTGCTACGCCACCACTTTGCGACAGACTGCCGTCTGGGCTCATGCTGTCAAAGTCCCACTCCAGGCCCCCAGCTACTGCCATGCTCCATCGTCATTGCTGCCTCCACAGCCAAGCTCTGTTCAGATGCTAAGTTAGAAAAACACTGAAAGAAAGAGAAAACAAAAACAAGAAAAAAGAAAGAAAAGAAACAAAAAAAGAAGAAAAAATAAAAACGTAGATGGAATGGACAAGACCTTGCCTCAGCAGCCTAGACACTGCCTACTCTGCCACCGCCATCGTAAATTTGCAGATGATATGAAAAATTGGTGCTGTGGTAAATAGTGGGAGGATAGCCTTAGACTACAAGAGGATATAGATAGGCTGGTCAGATGGGCCGATCAATGCTAAATGTAATCCAATCCAGTAAATGTGAGGTGACATACTTGGGCAGGATAAACGAGGCAAGGAAATACATGAAGATGACACACTGTGGAGCTGAAGAAACACAGCAGGCCAGGCAGCATCAGACGAGCAGGAAAGCTGATGTTTCGGGTCGGGACCCTTCTTCTGAAATGGGTCCTGAACGGAAACGTCAGATTTCCTGCTCCTCTGATGCTGCCTGGCCTGCTGTGTTCCTCCAGATCCAGCATCGGCAGTTCTTACTATCTCTAAGGAAATACATGAAGACTTGTTGGACCCTGGGAAGCACTAGGATCAGAGGGACTTTGTTCTGTACGTACACTGATCCGTTAAGGTATCAGGACAGGTGGATAAAGTCGTGAATAAGGCATATGGTACACTTGCCTTTATTACCCCAGCCATAGAGTTTAAAAGCAGGGAAGCTATGCTGAAACCTTTTAACATGTTGGTTAGGCCACAACTCTGATGCTGCTTGGCCTGCTGTGTTCATCTAGCTCTACACCTAGTTATCTTAGAATATTGTGTGCAGTTCTGGAATCCACGTTATAGGAGGGATGTGATAGCACTGGAGAGGGTGCAAAGGAAATTTACAAGGATGTTGCCTGGCCCTCAGAGTTTCAGTAATGAAGAGAGATTGGAGAGATAGGGATAGTAGGAACTGCCGATGCTGGAGTCTGAGATAACAAGGTGTAGAGCTGGATGAACGCAGCAGGTCAGGTTGCAGGAAAGCCAACATTTCGGGTCTGGATCCTTCTTCAGAAATGGAGGAGGGGAAGGGGGCTCTGAAATAGAAAGAGGGGGAGGCGATAGAAGGTGGATAGAGGAGCAGATAGGTGGAGAGAAGACGGACAGATCAAGGAGGTGGGGATGAAGCTAGTACTGGTGAGTGGAGGTAGGGAGTTGGGATCGGGGTTGGTTAGTGTGGAGGGAGGGGCGGGTAGGTGGGAGGGAAGACAGACAGGTCAAGGAGGCGGGGATGAGGCTAGTAGGTAGGAAGTGGGGGTGGGGGTTGGTCAGTGAGGGGGGGGGGGCGGATAGGTGGGAGAAAAGACAGACAGGTCAAGGAGGCGGGGACGAGAGGAGTTGCTGGTCTTGGGATGAGGTCGGGGGTGGGGAGATTTTGAAGCTTGTAAAGTCCACATTGAGACCATTGGGCTGCAGGGTTCCCAGGCAGAATATGAGGTGCTGTTCCTCCAGCCTTTGGGTAGCATCACTGTGGCACTGAAGGAGGCCCAGGATGGACAGGTTGTCCAAGGAGTGGGAGGGGGAGTTGAAGTGGTTTGTGACTGAGACGTGCAGTCGTTTGTCATGAACCGACACAGTTTGACCACTAAGCGATCTCCAAGCCTCTGCTTGGTTTCCCCGATGTAGAGGAGGCCACATCAGGAACAGCGGAAACAATATACCACACTAGCGGATGTGCAGGTGAACATCTGTTTAATGTGGAAGGTTTCCCTACATTGGGGAAACCAAGCGGAGGCTTGGAGACTGCTTTGTGGAGCACCTATGCTCAGTTCGTGACAAACGACAACACCTCCCAGAGGGCACCTCATTGGCAAGGGTGTTTCAGTAACTTTCATAAACGTGACATAAATATATACACACATTCATTGTTCTAACACTTGCTGTAGTCTCATTTCCTTGCTAGGTGCCTACACAATTGTCTCAAGTGTAGATTCTTCCCCATCGCTCAGGATACCTTTGATTGTCTCACTGAATAAACAATGTGTATGTCTGTACACCCTCTCGTGACCCAGCGAACCATAGACTTAGTATTTGAACAGTGCAGTCAAAGCTGTAGAGGTTGTATTCAGGAACACGCACCTTGTCTCATCAGTTCAACGGCGGGATATTGTGTCTGGGATAAGCTCATAGTGAGCCTTGCACAGGCAATTCATGAACATCATGCAGAGAGGTGATTTGCATCTATAGAATGGAAGAGACTAAGATCTTGTTGTTGGCTGGAGTCTTCATAGAAACGAAGATTGAAAAAAGTCATAGTGATTTTGGTGGTGGGAAGGTCCATTAGTTGTGCGTACGGTACTTCGGAGTATGAAAAAAAATTAGCCTAGATGATGGTGGGAAAGTCACTCAGTTCTGTGTGATAACACTCTGGGTATAAAAAAAGTACACAAAGCCTCGTAGGGTTCTTGCAGCACAGTGGCAGTGTTTCTATTTCTGAATCAGGAGGCCCAGGTTCAAGTCTCATTTGCTCCAAAGGTATGTCATAACATCTTTGAAAAATTTGATGAGAAAATAAACACAAAGCTTATTGATATCTCATCTAGATTCCCTGGATCAAAGTTATCACATCACAAGCAAATAAAAGTATAACTTTGCCCTTATTTGAAACCACAGTGCAAAATTAAACATTTCTCCATCAATGAAGTATTCTAAATAGTGAATACAGTGGTCTCTCAGGCAGATGGTCCATTAAAAGTAGAAAGGAAAAGAAACATAGATAACAAGGTGTAGAGCTGG